CTGCTGAGAATATTTATACAGATTTTGAATTTGAGTGAACATTTTAATAAACCTGCTATACCAGAAATCCTAAAAACCTGAAGAGATTAAAACTGGAAAAATGTCCTTACTGGGGAGGATAGTGGAGACAGCCAATGTGATATGAGTGGTTTGTATGCTGGAGTTAATGATGAATGAGTAGCATTAGTATGCATTTTGCAGGGCAGAATTTACACTGAGAGGTTAGTAAATGTTATCTCAATACTGACGTGTTCCCATATCTTTTTTTAAGAGGAGGCGTGAATTTATATTCTTACAGGGCATCTGCTCCAAAAGCCTATAAAAATGTTTTATTCATCACAGATGTAATGAATTCTGATCTTAATTTCCTTATTTGAGTCAGAAGTATACCCATCCACAAACCTTTTGTTTGTATTCCAAGACAAAATTCAGATCCTTGTCTCCCAGTTATGTTGTTGATTATAGCATCACAATATGTTAAATTTAAGAAGCCAGAACTTGAAAGCTTTTGGATACATAACAGTTGCATAGTTTGTGGACCCAGCTTTATTTTTGAAAACTACCTGGGTGGTTATGTACCACAAAAAGGCAGGCAGAGTGGTTTTGGCGGTACCTTGTAAGTTTGCATGTCTTGCAGTTGGATGAAAATACCAATTGATTGAGCCTTTCAGGTTGGAAAGGAAAAGTAATTTCAGGCTGTTACATTTTAACAGATACAATTTGCAGATTGTCACAGTTTTGACATTTTTACTGGTTTTTTTTCTTAACTGTCTGTGGTCTAAAACTTGAGGTGATGTGGGTCCAGTACTTAGTTTTACTTTTGTTTTAGTGTTTTTGGGGAAAATGTCTAGCTAATACATTTACATGATAGGATCTTCAGAATTAAAGAAAGCTTACCAAGTGTGAAGGAGTGGATTTTTTTCTTTATCGCAAGTGCGATTGCATGATATTTATTTTAGATTGATTTTAAGGAAAAGCATTTTAAGGAAGAGGAGTGAGGATTTAGCTAAAAAAGTTATATTCTCGATTTTTTTCTATTAAGGTGTAGCCTTTTAAAAGAATTCATTTTTGTAGACTGGCCTTGCAGATTCTAGTTTTTCAAATTGTGTTCAAGGTACTACTGCCCTCTGCTTTGTGAAAGATTGCTTACGCATTGTGCAATGTCTCATAATTCTGTAAAACTTGCAACATTTGAAAAAGTTATCTTAGTGTTCCAATATACTGAGTGATTTTCGTGTATTTTAAGTTGACGTGTCGGCTGGACACTAATATGTATTTTCCTGTATAATTTTATTTGTCTATAAAAGATAAAATTCTGAAGTGATTATCTTTTCCCCGTGAATCAATTTCAAGTCTAAATTGTCTCCTTTATGCACAGTGGAATTGAGTAGTTGATGTGGTCCCTCTGTACCCCTCCACTTTCTAAAGCGTTTATCAAGCATGTTGTAGTAGACTATTATAGGACTGTTTGCAGTGTGTTCTGGTCTAGGAGTAGCAGGTACTCAGAGAACAGGAGAACATATTTTTTAAGGGCAAGTTGCATCCTCTATCCTCTGTGACTTACACCCAGCTTGAAGGTTTTCTAGCATCTCCTTTTCTTCTTCCTTGAATTCCCACACAGATTTTGTTATTTTTTTAATGACTCTTACTTTTAGAGGAGGAAGCCATTATGAGCATCTTATGTTTTTAATAACAGGGCTAGATGCTGCTCTTGGTCTCTGGATTTTGTACTATACTTCTTGTATAGTACTAGTAATATTCTAGTGATTCCTGTTTTGAAAGCTACAAATCATGTTAGCCAAAACTACCAGAGTTTTCCGATTCATGGTTCTGGCAGGTACAGTTTTTTCAGCTGTATCTGGAGACTTGGTTTTTATTTTAGAATTCTCCCTCTTTGATCACGGGGATTATGGGGAAGAGTTTTAAGTATGTTTTGTCTAGGTAATACACTAGTTGCAGTTCTGTGTTCTCTTTATTTATTATCATTTTAGCTGACTTGACTTTTTTCCGTTACAAAGAAAAAATTATGCATTATGGAAGTACCTCTACTAATGATGAGTGCGTCAAATACAGACTGTCTGCAAAGAGTTTTTAGGCTTTTGTGTATTGAAAGTGTGGCGATTTTTAAAAATTCTCAGTTAAGTAATTGATTTAGATGTGTTCCTTACAAAAGAATCCACAGAAGCATATTGTTTAAGATCTGAAAGGAAAGTATTTCATTTTATGGTCATATGTTCGTAGGGCATTTTGGCTTCGTAGAGTAGAACAATTGATTAATGTTGACTCCTGTACAAAATCTGAACTTCTGTGCATGCCTAAAGGCTTACATTGCAGAAATGAATATAAAATGACAATGTGCTTTTTTTTCTTCTCGCTTAAGATTTATGCTGCTTTTCTTATTGTTAGCTTTGAATAGACAGTGCAACTAAACTTTTCTTTTGCAGTTTACCTGCTTAGTGTAAATGAGAAGTCAAGGTATACCAAAAAGATTGTTTTGTAGAGGGGTTGTGTGGCTTAAATAAGTAATTTTTCCTTTCTTGTTAGTGAGACACAACTGCAGTTGATCAGGCTTTGCTGAAGCAAAACAAAAGAAACTATAACAAAATGTGTGGTAAAAAAGAAAAAATAGAAGGAAGGAATAAAAACTAAGGGGTTGAGTGCTTGTGAATAGGAAAAGATAAACACAATCTAAAAAATGTGGCCAGAAATAAATTATTATTAGGGAGGAAAAGAACAGTAAGAAAATATATTTTATCAGAATACATAAAACCATGTAGTATGACATTCTCTTAGCAATATTAAGATGGTGGGGTGATTCCTCCCTCCCACCCCCAGCAAAAACTAATACTTTTTTTTTTCCTGTAATGAAAATCAGTGCCTCCATTTAACTGTTTCCTAAACATAGTATTCAGTCTTGCAGCTATAAACCTATTTTCCCTCTGAAAACTTGGTCTCACTGTTAAGAGTGATGGTGTAATTTCAGTCTGGACTTTGTTGGTGCAGTATGTATTTGGTGAGTGGAGGTTGAGTAATTTCAGTTGTGGAAACAGGACCTGGAGTTGTAATGAAAATCAGTGCCTCCATTTAACTGTTTCCTAAACATAGTATTCAGTCTTGCAGCTATAAACCTATTTTCCCTCTGAAAACTTGGTCTCACTGTTAAGAGTGATGGTGTAATTTCAGTCTGGACTTTGTTGGTGCAGTATGTATTTGGTGAGTGGAGGTTGAGTAATTTCAGTTGTGGAAACAGGACCTGGAGTGAATTAAAGAGAAAATGAATTGATTCTTTCAGCCAGAAAATTGTTGAAGCACCATACTGAAGATGTTTAGGGGGAAAAGGTGTGATGTTCTAAGGCCTACAGAATTGTTGCAGTGGACTGCAACCACTGGTGAATATGTTATTCCATATTTTTCAAGTTCCTTAAAAGTCTTGTGGATAAGCAAGATTTCTAGTTAAATCATCACAGTCTGCAAAGGAGTTAGAGAAGTGTGAAAAAGAATGTATGTTTAAAAAATACCAGACAATAAAAAATAGATTACAGTAGATGGCTGGAAAATTGTTGTTCTATATTACATGAGGCTCTTGAGGACAATTTATTTTGTCTGTGTAAATCAAAGCCATGAATTAAAATAAAAGGTCTTGGTTACTTTCTGGAAGTGTTACCCTAACAGTAAGTGTAGTCAGATTTTTTGCTAGTATTGCTAGTGTTCATACTGTTGTTAAGGGGAGAAGGTGTCTGTTAAAATAGTGGAATACAGCTCCACACTCTTAGGATATGTTTGATTTCTTTGTAACCTAAATTTAGACTGCATTTAAAGATTTTGAGGTTGTGATCAGCTGCTTCAAATCTGAAGACAGAAGAAGAAAAAAAATGTAAAGTTGTATA